GCTGGGATGAGGCTGCTCCTCAGTGGCGGAGGATCTTCTCCTTAAGTATGCGGTACCATCGATTTCAGTTAATATGGTAAATAGAAGAAAATATTTGTGCAGCAAAGCACAAAAAGATGGAAAATATTGTATTTTGCACAAGCATGCCCCAATGGCACACACTTGAACCTTGTAAAATCATCTAGTTTGTCACATGTTCACTCTAAAGGAAGATGAGTAATGATTTGCCTCCTTAAAGCTTGCTTCAATGTATTAGATAATTTCAGCCCCATGGTAATGAGCTAGAAAACCCAATTAATCAGTGCGGGAGCGCCCTACAGAAGCATGCGAGGCCATGCAATGCCTCCTGGTGCTCTTGCTGTTACAGACAGTGAACTGGGTGCAGCTGCCTTTGATGCGCTTTGGTAGGCAGAGCCAAAATCCCAGGTCTGAGACCTAAAGGACTCCTTCCATATTCTGTGATCACGTGCTGGGTATGAAAAACACTCTACAGACCAGAGGACTCTGAAAACAGTGGCTTTCTGGTTTCAGCTGACCTGAAACATGTGCGGAGTGTGCTCTGTAGCTGTTCGGTGTGCGGCTGAGCAGCCGGGTCTGGCTGGTGCAGTTCAGAGACCTGACCAAAGTGATGGAAGGTGAGCTGGGCAACCCCATCACAGATGGCCTGGTTGCTTAATGACTGGGCTGGGTGGACAGCTGACCAAGAAGTCCATGTTTCCATCACAGCCTAGTCCTGCCTCCCTGTAGGGTGAACTGGTATAGGAGCAGCCGTTGAGTAGGTGACAGTAGATACACGGGCATCTGCTTAGATCGTGCCTACCCTATTGCTTGGGGCCGCTTTCTTTCATACTGAGGTTCTCGCTTGTAACTGCGAACCACTGAAAGTCTTCCCCGGGCAGGACAGCCGCTTCCATGGCTTTTGGCAGAAGGTTGGTGGGAGAACATTGTCTCTTTATAAAAGCAGATGCTGTTAAATCTAATTATAAGGGTGACCAGGAGCTACAGATGGTCTTTTCCAGCTCAGGTCCTGCCAGGAAGTACTTAGCCTGGTTTTCCGCCCATGGAAATGTACCTGGCAAGCGTGGGACTGGCACAGTGCTTTGGGCTGCAGTGTACAAATCCAGCAAAGTGTAATCTGAATGCTGACAGCCCTGTGTCTGTGGTAGGATAACTGCCCCTGTAGGGCTGAAAGCGGGGTGTGGGGCCTGCACAGTTAGCTGCAGGCTGTCAGGGACCATAAGGTGCGTTTGTCCTGAAGCACCGTCAAGCTGGGGCATTGGTTTCGATACCTCTTTAAAGGTTTCTTAGCTGAACTTCAGAGTTTATCAGCGTTTTACTGCATTCATTCTTCATCTTTGTACATATATACACCAGGTAGAGGGTGAAATAACTATGCTGGATCTGCTGTTTCTTGATTCTAGTTTGGGCTGGTATATCTCCTCTACAGGAGTTGGCTCATGCACCCTGTCTGTATTTGTCCTGGACTCTGAGACGTGGTGGACAGCTGTATGTCTTAATGAGAACTGCTTGCAAATGTTTCGTTGAAATTATTTTTCTGTATTAAAAAAAAATTTTTTTTTGGTCTAACATTTAAGAAAAAACTTTTCATTAGAATTCCAGCAGGAAGACTATTTCTAGTTGTGCTGTTTTCATGTTGGGATTCTGGAATTTCGTTAGATCTTTACGTTGTTGCTGTTTTCCATTCACGTGTTTCACGGTAAGTCAGTGGCAACCAGTTAGTGCAAAACTCCCTCAACTTACTGTGAAGTCATGTTATACGACACTATAGTAGAAGTAGCTCTCTCTACCCTTTTCCTGTCCTCAGTGACAGGTGCCGCTAGCACTGGTTCAAGCGTCTGATCCTTTCTTTCATAGGTCTGACTCTTTGGGGTGCCTTGTAATGAAATGGTTCAGTGTCCTCCACCCGACCAGCGACTGTTGCCCGTCACATGTGATGAGGCCGCCAGCCCCATGCCGACTCAGTCTGATTTTTGAGCTGAGCAATTTGCGTCTCACAGAGAAGAGAACAAAATTAACTCGGCTGTAAAAGCAGTTTCCATCTCGGAACGGAAAAGAAGACCCAGCAAAAGTTGTGATGCGCTCGGGACGCTCTCAAGAGCTTTTGGCTTTAACCGTGGCAGTTCACAGCATGGAGAGGAGAGGCAAAGGGCTGGTGTGGGCAGTCACCAAAGGGGCACCAGCCCCAGAGGGTGGTTGTGATATGAAACGGAGTCTGTGATCCACGGTGCGCATCTACCTGCTGGCGGTTGTGGCATGGCCCACCTGATGGGCAGGGGGCTCGAACCTGCTCTTCAGGCACCACGCTTGTCTGGTTAGATAGGAACAGGTTATGAAATCCACCCCAGATGTCAGCAGTTGTGGCTAGCCAGCTGCTGTCTCAGTTCTGAACAAAAACACAGCCTGAGCTGCTTTTAGCTACTGAGCAGCTTTACTTCCTGTCTCAAGCTGTGGTTGGGTGATCAGGGCAAAGATGGGGAGGCTTTGGTGTGCTACCGCTTCGGGGCTGCTTCTGGGGAAGGGCGTTGCAAAAAAAAAAAAAAAAAAAAAAAAAAAAAAAGGGGGGGGGGGGAAAGGGAAAACGAA